CACATGACTTTAAAGGACACACTGAACAAGGTAAGTTTGTACACTTTATAAAGACCAATCTCTAATCATAAGAAGCCCAAAACAAAGGAATAGAGGTGGAGGGACAGACAGATAAAGGAATACTCGTCAACTTTTCTTCATTGTACAGGGAAATCCCCCTGAAGTAAGAATAAGAAAATCAAATGAGTTGGAAAATATTTCTAACTTTAACTGTATTTTCCCTTAAACCTGTATTTTCCCTTTAAACCTATCTATGAACAATAATGCAAGTTTCATACAACTAAAAATTATAAAGATTTTATATTTTAAGAAGTAGCCATCATTATTAACCCTTGTCAGACTGGGTTATGGAAGAATGATGTGATGGGGTTTTGAACCTTTCAAAGCAACGAACATTTTCTAATTGTGATCTTGTTTACCATAAAAAGTCTATCAGCTGTTGGTTAAATGACATGGTATTTTTAGTTTCCATGAATTGTACAAGTGACAAATGTTGAAATGGCAAATGCTATCTATAATTTTTTAATAAATAAAAGCAAAAATGACTACCAGAAACTGCCTTTTTCACTGTTTAATAAAGCAGGCATTTGGCTACTAACCAAAAGGTTGGTGGTTTGAACCCACCAGCCACTCCATGGGAGAAAGATGAGGCAGTTCGCTTCTGTAAAGATTTATAGCTTTGGAAACCCAATGGGGCAATTCTACTCTGCACTATTGCGTCACTATGAGTCAGAATTGACTTGATGGCAGTGGGTTTGGTTTTCTGGGTTATATACCCAAGTTTCAAACCATACTTTCCTTTGCTATTTTTCATAAACTATTTATTTTAGTATTTTTAATAGCGATGCCCTGTTATTATGAGGACAAAGCTGCTTTTCCAGTAAACCACATTTTTTAAAAATCCCACAGGGCTAAATTCCCAGAAATCATGGTTTGCATACAAAAGAAAGATTTGTAGGTTTATAATCTACTTTATTATTATTTTTTAAATTGCACCGTACAATTACTGATAGATAAAATAAGAGTATTTAGAAAAATTCAAATTGATCAGTATCAAAATATACCTCATTGAAATATACTTACTTATAAAAACATATTGCCTTTGCCATGTGAAAATCTGGTGTTCAGTTCTCTAGATTTCTTTATCAGAGCTTTTTTCTGAGCTTCATCAAACTGATTAACCTTGAGATCTTTATCCCGGTCAAATGGTATTCTTTCTTGAGGCTTATTTTTATCTTCAGCAGCCTTATTCTTTAGTTTTTTATGATGTATGTCCATAAGAGATTCTGATCTTTTTGAGTCCTGAGGAGAGCAAGATAGCAGAAATAAAAATCTTGTTTGTACAAATTGCTGACAGAACATGATCATGAAACAAAATAGGAAGGTAGTGACACTGAACAAGAAAGAGAGTTATTTACAAACCCAATAGATTTTTCCAAATACAACACAGCATCTCTGAAGAAAATACGCATCAGAGGCAAATTCAATTCAACCATAATAAAGATGTCTACTAACTATATGCTGGACAACAAAATAAGTACAAGACAGAGAAGAAACAAATATTTAAATAACTGTAATGAAAGGAATCATGTGACCTGTCCAAATTAACCTATGAACCAAGAACCTGGGTGTAAAAGGAGCAATTATATTCTCACTTGGGAGCCTGATTAAAGCTTCCAGGATGTGCTGGCCCTTGAAGCCAGCACTGGATTTTAACAAGTGGATGTGAAGGGAAGGGCTTTGCTAGGCTGAGGCAAAACCCGGCAAAACTCAGAAATATGGGCACAGAAGTGGCAATATTCAAGGCCTGGGCAGGGTATGTTGGCATGTTTTATAAGCTAGGATATTTTTGTTCTTTCAGTTTTCTTAATTGTTCACATTTTCAGATCTACGTAGTAGGACAAAGCCTAACAAAGGCAACTAGTTTAAAGAAGTAGGGATTTCTACAGAACTTTCGACAATGATTTAGGTAAAAGAATGGCACTGGAATGGAGAAATAATGAAGAGTGGTAGGAGTCATGCAGCTGTCTTCAAAATGAAGGATATCCACCCCTGAGAGTGATACAGAGTGGATTCTATGGTGTGTGAAGACATGGGTAATTGTAAGGCAATTAACTCAAGTTCCCAACATCCTTTATGTAGCCTTTCTTAAAAATGATTTTCCCTCGAGCTCTCCTGAAGGTGCCTCCCCTTTCATTCTAGCCCTTTTCCCACTTGGCAAAGGGGAGGCACTCCCTACCCCCATATAGAATATGGCCTAGGGGAGTTCAAGCCTCCAGGGCATCAAACAAAGGGATAACCTGAAATACTGGTGTGAGTAAAACTTCCTTTAGTCAAGAAACTAAAACCTAGGAGGGCTTTGTATCCTTCTGAGTCTTCAACTTATTTCTCTTAAGAGTGTAGTGTCCTTTAGAAATGAGTTTGGTGGCTGTTTTTGGACTGTCCTGCATTCAGATATACTGAAGAATGGAACAACAAAAGGAAGGGCAATTTTTGCTTAATAACCCCATCTCTTCCAGGCCCTGTCTACTGTGTCAAAGTCTTTACCTGAAGGCAAAGAAAGAGAGCTGAAAGTGGCAGCATCATATTGAAATAAGGTACCTCCTTCCCTCATTTACATACTTATATTAGAATTCAGAAGCATCAAAGGAATGATCATTAACACATTTTTTAATATGGAAAATGAAGTTAGACTTTCTGACAGAACCAAAGTACAATGGCTGATTTGAAAATGAGAACTGATTTTGCCCATTAGTAGACATTTTCCATAAACTGAATGAACTCAATCTGGAAATCCAAAGTTTTAAAATACAGAAGCTATATTAGTGAATGTGTATTTAAATTAGCACTATTTCAATTTTCCCAATCCCTGCTCTACTATAGGAACTCTGGTAGCATGGTGCCTAAGACACTTGACTGCTAACCCGAAGGCTGGCGGTTCAAACCCACCAGCCACTCCTCAGAAGGAAGTTTGGGCAATCTACTTACGTAGTGATACCACCTCAGAAACCCAAGCAGGGGTCACCATGCGTCGGATACGACTCGACAGCAGTGGTGTGGTGGTGTGTGCTCTACTATAGAGTACCTCATAAAAACTAAAATCAAATCCAGACATCGAGTTGATTCCAACTCCTAGTGATCCCCTTTGGGATTGCGAGGTGGTAAATCTCTATGGAAGTAGACTGCCTCATCTTCCTTCTGCGGAGTGGCTGGTGAGTTTGAACTGTCAACCTACTGGTTAGTAGTCAAATACCTTAGGCATTGTGCTGCCAGAGCTCTTGAGAGTACCTCATAGTCATGAATAACTATGATAAAGTCTTTTAGAAACTAATTTACAAGTTAAGTTCTTTCTTATTCTTTATGTTCCACAAAATTTACAGAGGTGAAAAGAGAATCATCAAATATTGCTAAGAAAAAATAGGCTTGAATACATTTACCGATACATTCAGTATGCATAAGGAACGGTGTACATGGGTAAGCACTCAACTACTGACTGAAAGGGTGATGGCTCGAATTCACCCAGAGGTGCCCCAGAAGATAGGCCCAGCGATCTGCTCCTGAAAGGTCACAGCTTTGAAAACTCTATGGAACAGAATCATTCTGCACACATGGGGTTGCCATGATTAAGTTCTGAATTCAATAAAACTAGATGGCAATGATGGAGATAGTCCTGGTTCTTTCAATACTAGTTAACCTTGGACAAGTAATTTGCACCTCATTCGCCCACTGTAAAATGGCAGTAATAATAGTAACAATTTCAAAATATTTGGGTGGAGAAGAGTTAAGTGATCAAACAAATACAAAGTATTTAGTGCAGTGCTCAATAAATGTTAAGGGTTACATTTATTGACAATTTATTATATTGTAATCCTCCCAATATTTCTGTAAGCTACCAATTTGGAAAGAAAGAAAGAGAAAAGAAATTAATGTGACTAATGCAGGGAAAAACAAATTCAAAGAAGGTCCTGAAGAGCCAAAAGCTGAGATTATCAGCAAGAATCTTTGTTAATAGATCACTATGAGGGTTAAGAAAATGAGTCAGAACCGAATGATATTGTTATAACAAAATGTGTTCCATTTCCATCCATTTCTTATGTAAAACAGGTTTCTTAACTCTTAGAACTATAAAAACAAACAAACAAAAGAATATAATTGATGTTGAAATCATTCCAGCAGTAAGTAACACTCATCCAAAGATCAGAAACTAATGGGAAAATAGTCTTTCATTAGAAGATTAAATTAAATTTACATTTTACTTGTCATGCTTAATACTCGTTTATCAAAATTTACATTTTTATATTATGTGATCAAGTGAAATAAAAACCCAATTCAGAAGGAAAGTAAGTGTATGTTAAGATTTAAAGACTCAGACAAAAGAAATTAAAAAAACTTTCGGTTCCAATTTACATGCACATTTTTGTTATAGCAAAATATATCAATATAATCATAAAAGACTTTCAAGCATAAAAGTAAACCCATCAGGATAAAATTCTGTAGCAGAAGAGAAATAGAACTTGTTCATATATATTCTTTAATGGCTATTAACACCCACTGCCATTAAGCGGATGCCAACTCATAGTGACCCTAAAGGACAGAGCAAAACTGCCCCACAGGGTTTCCCCGGCTGTAAAACTTTACAGAAGCAGAATTCCTCATCTTTCTCTTGGGAAGCGGCTGGTGGGTTTGAACCTCAGATCAGCTGTTAAACGCTTTAACTACTATGCCACCAGAGCTCCCCTTAATGCTATCCTGGTAAGTACTTAAAGTTAACGAAAATTTTAGATGTTAAGTTAAAAATATGCAAGGGGATAAATCATTTTTAAAATTTTAGAGGTAACAAAAAACAAAACAAAACAAAACCTTGAAGACGACTGGCCTCCAATCCTGACTGAAGAGATATATAGATTGCTGGGCCCCGTTATAGATTTAGTGAATTAAAACCGCCAACTGTGGGTCTCAGAAATCTGTGCTTTTAAAAATCACCCAGGTTCTCTTGCAGGTGATCTATTGAACATGGACCCCACTGCGTATCTCATCGTTTCTAGTAGTTTGCTAGTTAGACATAGAAGAAGAACCAGAGCAAGTTTATTTTAATTTAGGATGGGGAACTATAATGTCATATAAATATAATTATGTAAGTCACTCGCGCTGCCCAGGAACTCTCGTCCTACCAGAAGGAACACAACCCAAAACAGAGGTTCTTCCAGTAGGATTCAAAATGCCAACTACTCAATGAGAGCCACCCCTCCTCCCCCAAGGTACCATAAGAATGGAGTCATCAAAAATCACTTTGTGCCACACCCTTATTGCCCTGGAAATCAGAGCTCCAATCAGAGAAGCCTGTACACCTCCATAGTCCACCCACCCTTGCCTCGACAACAGTCCACTGGCTCAGACTGAGTGTCCCAGACAGCTGACAGCATGATTTCCTCAAGGTCCCAGACCAAGGTGCTGCAGGTATCTAGAGGCAAACCACAAGTTGGCCTCCCCCAGCAGGAGGCAGACTGAAGCTCCAGCCGAAGCCTAAGCCTGAGGTACCCCAGTGCAAGGCTCTGTATGCCTATGATGCTCTGGACACAGATGAACTCAGTTTCAATGTCAATGCTGTTATTGATATTATCAAAGAAGAGCCTTCTGGATGGTGGACAGGTTGGTTATGAGGCAAGCAGGGCCTCTTCCCCAACTACTACGTGACCAAGATCTGAGGCACACAAAGACTCTGTGTCGGGCGAAGGAGCTCCAGGCACAGACAAGGGAGGGGATATTTGGGGACTCCCTTTCTGATCCACAGCATATTATAAAAACATGATCTTTTAGCACTATTTCTACACATTTTTCTCCCCTTTCCCTGTTTCCACATCTATCCCTGCTAGTAAGATAATAATAACTCATTAATGAGATAATAGGAGCTCTGGTAGCGTAGTGCCTAAAGCATTTAACTGCTAACCAGAAGGCTGGTGGTTCAAACCCACCAGCCACTCCTTGGAAGGAAGATGGGGCAATCTACTTCTGCAGTGATACTGCCTCGGAAACCCAAGGAGGGGTCACTATGAGTTGGGTCTGACTCAACGGCACATAACAATAACAACAATAAGATAATAATAATAATAATAATGAAGACTGATAGGTAACAAGACTTGGAAGGGAAAGGCCAGAAGGTGTGAGAAAGAGCAGAAGAAACCAAAGAATAAAGTTTGGAGATGAGTGGAGGTGTGAGAAAGTATGGACCTGAGGGACCTCATATTACCTAAAGGCCTACTGAGAAACTTCATTTATATTGATGAGCAAAACTGTATAGAATACAAAATGTGACAAAAGTAAATGAAAATAGAGAAAAGAAGATGGCAGGCTTCAAGTTATTAATCTCTTCTATTAATAAAATTAAATAACAGTACAGACAGAAGAACATATTAAACCACAAGACTATTATAGTCAATTCAAACAATTCACGTACTCAAATTCATTATGTTAAAAGAAACAAAATCTTCTATCAGCTGTTTCAGGTGCTGTCTAGTGTAACTGGCACACTGACACACACGTGACCAAACAGGTCCTAGAACTCTAGAAAATACTACAAACATCTGGGAGCAGTCAATTCACCAAAAATCAATAAATTTAAACTATTTCCTGTACAGATCAACTTGCTAAGTAGCCATTTGCTGATTTACTAAGTTCATCATTCAATAAAAAAAAAGTTTTTATTTTTCTTAAAAAACATTTTATAAAATTTAGAGTAATTCATCTTGAATGGGATAGTTTTGAACAACTTTTGAAAATTCATGCTAAGTTTCTAGTTGTGTAGTTTTTATTTCTACTTGTATGCAGCATTTCAAAGCATTTCCTTTGTCAAAAGCTAAAGGTCATAGAGTGGTTCACTCGTAAGACTCTAGAAACATTTTGAAAAGTAAATCTCATCATAAGTAAATAAAATTTAAGCATAAGATTAGAACCTTAATATTTTTGATGCATATTAAAGTAAATCATAGACATCAATGCAAGTTCTCTTAAATACTTCAATATGCATGTCATTAACAGGGTTCAATATTTGATTACAATCTTTTTTTTTTTGAGAAAAACTGTACAATGAAATATATAGATCTTAAAGTTTATATGCACAGAATTTTGTAATCCAAACTCCTGTCAAGATTGGGAACATTTTCATCACCCCAGGAAGCTCTGCATGCACCTTCCTGGTCAATCTCCACATTCTGGCTCCAACAACCACCATTCTGATTCTCACTCCACCAGATTTGTTTGCCTCTTCTCAAGTGTCACATAAATGGAAGCATTCAGTATGAATGTGCTTACATAAGCAAGCATAATGATTTTGAGATTCATCCACGTTGTTCCATTTATTAGTATTTTGTTCCTTTTTATTGCTGAATAGCATTTCATTATACACACATTTTGGTTTTCCATTCTCCTATCAATGAATACCTGTGCTGTTTACAGCACTTAGCTTATTGAATACTCTTGTGTGAGTATTTTTGGGACAATTATGATTAAAGCTGTTATAAACATTCATGTTCATGTCTTTGTGTAGAAATGTTTTCACTTGTCTTAGGTAAATACCCAGGAGTGGAACTGCAGGGTCATAGTGTAGGTATATATTTAGTTTGAAAAGAAATGCCAGTTTGAAACAAAGAAATACTATATGACTCTAAAACTCCACTCCTACATATATACCCAAGGGAAAGGAAGGAAGTAAACAGATACTTGTATACTAATGTTGGCTGCAGCATTATTCACAGAACCCAAAAGGTTTTCTCCATCTTTTGTCCCCTAGTGTCCATCAACAGATGTTAGAGTTGTTAGAGAGGAATGAAGTTCTGATACATGAGAAGACATGGAGGAACCCTGAAATCCTGATGCTGAGTAAAGTCAGTGAGACATAAAGAATAAAAATTGTGTGATCCCACCATATGAAATAAGTAGAATAGGTAAATCCATCAAGACAAAATTAGATCAATGGTTACCAGGAGCAGGTGGAGGGGATATGAGGAGGTACTGCTTAGAGTTTCTGTTAAGGGTAATGGAAACATCTGGAAAAGGACAGTGGCCCAACATGGTAAACAATTAATGTCACAGAATTATATGTATATAAGTGGTTGAAATGGCAAATGTTTTATGTATTTTGCCACAATAAAAAATAAATTAAAACATAAATAAAAATACTTGGAGTTGCTCTTTGGATTAAATGAGTTAATACACGTAAGTGGCTTAGGGCTTGGAACATAGTAAGAACATGCTATATATATCACCTATTACTGATTCAAAGTTTTGTAAAATCAAAGCACAGTTCAAATGTGCAATATAATCTCTGCAGATTAGGAGGAAAAAAAAAAAAGAAAGTATCAGTGTGGGTAAAGGTCTGGCTTATTAATTTTCAAGGAGCACTGGTGGCACAGTGGTTAAAACACTCGGCTGCTAACCTAAAGACTGGTGGTTCAAACCCACCAGCCACTCTGTGGGAGAAAGATGAGGCAGTTTGCTTCTGTAAAGATTTACAGCCTTGGAAATCCTCTAATGCAGTTCTCCTCTGTCCTCTAGGATCACTGAATAGGAACTAACTTGATGGCAGTGGGTTTTGGTGGCTATTTATTTTCAGCCATTCTTTTCTAACATATGCCTTTATGGCTATGAACTTGCCCATAAGCAGCACTTTACAATACAGCTCACACATCTGGTATGTTAAGTTCTTGTTATCATTCAGGTCTAGGTATTTTCTAACTTCCATTACCATTCATTTTTTGGCACAGAGTTTAAATTTTGAATTTTTAAAACTTCTGTTTGCATAGGTCTTTTAAGTTGTACTGATTCTGAATTGTAACTCAAATTCCTCGTGGTTAAAGAACATGTTCTAAATGACAGTGAGTCTTTGAATGTTGTTGAGACATAACTTTTTAGCTGATGGGTTTTCACAAATGTTTGGTCTAGTTTACAGTTAGTGTCCAAAAAACTTTCACATATGTTTCACTGTTCCTAGTGTTCATATTGCCAATAAATCAAGTTAACTACATCCTTAATGTTTATGGAGCTTTTCATTACCTAACACTCTGCGAATAGAAGGTAATTTTCCTAAACACCTAAGCACTTCTCAGCGAACAGGGGGTTCAGTGTTTATATTTATTCTTTGAGCTGGAACACTCTCCAGTTTTTCTAAAAGAGAGAACAGAATAGTAATACGCCAAATGAATAGTGACCTGCTTAATTTATAAATTTAGACTGAACCAAATTTCAAAACCCTTTTTTCGTCCTATATTTAAGTCTTAGACTTCTCTCATATTTAAATTTTTACATCAAACATTCCAAATCTGCTTGTAATTTTAAACTCATGAACTGAGGATCTCTATGCATCGTCAGTGCTCTGGCTTTCTAATCAAACACTACCTCTGTCTAGTAATTAAACTTCTGATATATAACTTACAATAAAAATTAAAAACATTACATGAAATGCATTTTAAAAATCCTACACAACAGAATCGAGTATTTTTCAGAAAAGGTAGGTAAAAAAATACTGACGTATAGAGGGAGACATATAAAAGAAAGCAATATAAAACAATGAGAGGAATTAAAAGATCTAAAAATTAAAAGGTTATACATTATTCCCTTACTTACATTGTATGAGGATACCTGCTCAGCCAATCTCTTATCTCTTCCTGACAATACTTGTTCTTCATCCTTCTTAGTGAATGACTTCCTTGCTTCTTGTGTTTCCTAAGGAATGAGCAAAGGAAAGCAATACATATTGTTTTTATTGAGACAGAGACTAACTTGAGCTACACTGTTTGAATCTTTCCTATTAGAAATATCAATACACTTCATAAGGGATCAGTTAGTGTTCTGCTGTACGATTTTCATGACAATAAACAATCAAAAACCCTATCTAACCAACCAACCTAAAGAAATACCTATTTATCAAACGCAGAAATGAGTTGGACAAACAGAATAAATGTAGAAGAGAAATGAGGCTTAAAAAGAAATCCCGTATTATATGTTCTCAAAAACAATAAAATTCATTCTACAGAGAAATCACTTTTGAGGGGGAAAAAAAGTTAGATACAGAAAAAGAAATAAAAAGTACACAGATTAGAAAAGAAGAAATAAAACTATCTTTTTTATTCACAGAATAAAGTACCGACAGAAAGCCCCAAAAAGTCTACAAAAAAAAATTCACAGAACTAGTAAGCATAACAGTTGTAGGTAGGATACCAGGTCAATATACAAAACTGCTTGCCCACATACCAAAAATGAACAACTGAAATGTGAAATTTAAAAAACAATACTATCTACAATAGTACACACCCAAATGAAGTACTTAAGATATAACTCCAATGAATCTTAATTAGAAAAAAGAAAACATTGCAACAATATTCTGTTATTTGTTTAAGAAAACCTAGGAGGCCCTCATATAATTTTTATCTTAGTATCAAACTAAAATAACATCATATCTAATGAAGTACATTAAAAATATAGGAACATTTCATTGTAGCATTATTCGTAATAATGTTTAGGCTGTCCATCAACAGATGAATGGGTCCATCAACAGATGAATGGGTAAACAAAATGCATACATATTTAAAATGGAACATTATTCAGCCATAAAAAGAAATGAAGTTCTGATACATGCTATGACACATAAACCTTAGAAGGATTATGCTAAGTGAACTAAACCGACACAAAAGGTCAGATATTATATGACCTTAAACCAAAAAAACCAAACTCAGTGCCTTCAAGTCAGATCCGACTCACAGTGACCCCTCCTTGGGTTTCCGAGGTGATATCACTACGGAAGTAGATCTCCCAATCTTCCTTCCGAGGAGTGGCTGGTGGGTTTGAGCTGCCAGCCTTCTGGTTAGCAGTAAAATGCCTTAGATATGACCTTGTTGTTGTTGTTGTTAAGTGCTATCCAGTCATCTCCGACTCATAGTGACCCTATGCACAGCAGAACGAAACACCGCCCAGTCCTGAGCCAGCTCCATGATTCTTGCTGCACTTGAGCCCATCGCTGCCACCACCGTGTCAATCCACCTCGTTGAGGGCCTTCCCTACTTTTGTCGACCCTCCACCTTAACAAGTATGACATCCTTCTCCAGGGAACGGACCCTTCTGACAACATGACCGAAGTATGTGAAATGAAGTCTGGCCATTCTTGCCTCCAAGGAGAATTCTGGCTGCACTTCCTCCAGGACAGACCTGTTAGTTCTTTTAGCAGTGTTCAATGCATCAAATCTATTCTCTAGATGGTCTCTGAATTCAGGAGGGATATATTCAAGATCATATTTAACATGGAAACTTTCTAAATGACAATTTCTCAGGTGCATTAAGCTTCTTGTTACTGACAGGATAGCTATGAAACACTCCATTAATCATTAAATTCAGGAGTCTGCAAACCAACCAGATGTCAGCAGGAAGGAAGGGAAATTCTCTTATGTTTTTAGATTTTCTCCTTTTGAATCTCTGTTCATTTTATGAAACATTCCATTGTATTTTAGGAATTGAACCAATGCTCCTAGCACTCCTCAAGTTTATTTTGAAGATGTCTATTCCCTTAAGATAGCCCATTCAGCTCTTAAAGGCTTGATTGTCACCTTTGAATAATTGTCACCTTTGATTATAGCTTCATCAGTACTGATCTAAACAGTAGGTAAGATATGATCTTACCTACATGAAATATCTACAGTAGGCAATGAAGAGACAGAAAGCGGTTACTATGGACTGGGGAGTAGGGGGTGGCGGTGGGGAATTACTGTATAATGAGTACAGAGTTTCTGTTTGGGATAATGCATAAAATTTGGAAATGGTGATAATGATTATTCATTATATATATGAATAGCTCATATCTTATTTTTCCATAAAAATTCTCCCAGGAAACAGATCTTTTACTTACAAGTATTAAAGAGAAAAATCATGTTACTATAAAATGGCAATTAAAAACCAGAACATTTAAAACTTAGTAGATCTAATCAAGACTGGGAAGAGAAGACATAACAGATTCTGAGTTTGTGCACAACATTTTCTTTTCTTTCTAAAGAGCAATTATAGTTCTTGTAGGCCACAAAACTGTAAGTAGTATGGGAAATGTATACTGGGCAATAAAATATAAAAAAGTATGGAGTAGAGAAAATCTAAGCAGTTCTGTTGCTGCAGTAATTAAAGCATTTGACTGCTAACCAAAAGGTCAGTGGTTCAAATTCACCAGCTGCTCTGAAGAAGATTCCGTAAAGATTTAAAGCCCTGGAAACCCTATAAGGCAGTTCTATTCTGTCCTACAGGGTCACTATAAATCAAAATCGATGGCAGTGGGTTTTTTTTTTTTTTTTGGTTTAGAGAAAGCCTATCAAGAAAGAAATCTGGCTAAAATATTTTACAAAAATTAATCATAAACTTTAGCTTGGATCAAAGATCAAAGACAGAAGAAAACAAATAGTTCTGTGACACTACACAGTTTGTGACATAAATACAGTCTGAGTCAGAATCAACTCGATGGCAGTGGGTTTGGTTTTGGTATGCTATAATCAAGTATCACATACATTTTAAGGGCTATTAATAATTCCTTCATGAGTCCACTGTCAATACAGAACAAAACATATTCAGCACTGAAAAGAAAAATGATCAGGTATAAAGAACTCAGTGGGCTTAAAAATCACTTAAGTTCCAATTGCACTACCTAAGCTGATTTGTTCCACTGTTCTGTGTATTTTCCTCTGAAGAAGACTCCCTGCTTATCTGGCTGTAGGGTAGACATTCTATATGCAGTGAAGAAAAAGATGACAGAAAAAGGCACAAATAAATGTAAGCACAAATAACAAGTCCATGTAGTGAGGGAATTAATTGCCTTTTTCACAGATAATCTTAAATGTGGTTATAAAAACAAAAAAGATCACAATATGTTATCTTCATAAGACACAGCTAGGATGAGTGGCTGGGCATTCCAACACTAGCCTCTCAGGTGTGTGGCTCATTTCCACAGCACAGCTTTTGCCTCTTGTGCTCTATGTGTTTTGGCTCACTTCCCCTTTCTATGCCAGCTCTCAGATTTCCTTTAATCTTCAGATCAAAAGAGAATTTATGATGATGTCACCTACTCAGGGTATGGTATTAAAATGTGGAGACTCAACATACCATCCACATTTTAAGAATAAATATCTATTTCACAATCAATTCTCCACCAAAATGAAAACTCCTGAGGGACCTCTTTCATCTTTCTATAAACTGCAACGAAGCACAATGTCTGGTACAATTTCTAGTTACAGAATCAAAATAGAAATCTTGATTATTATAGGTACTGAGGAACAGGATAAACAGAGCTACGGTGATGAATTAAGTATGGAACTGTTTAGATCAGTACTGATGAAGCTATAATCAAAGGTGACAATTAATCAAGCCTTTAAGAGCTGAATGGGCTATCTTAAGGGAATAGACATCTTCAGAATAAACTTGAGGAGTGCTGGGAGCATTGGTTCAATTCCTAAAATACAATGGAATGTTTCATAAAATGAACAGAGATTCAAAAGGAGAAAATCTAAAAACAGTAAGAGGATTTCCCTTCCTTCCTACTGACATCTGGTTGGTTTGCAGACTCCTGAATTTAATGATTAATGGAGTGTTTCATAGCTATCCTGTCAGTAACAAGAAGCTTAATGCACCTGAGAAATTGTCATTTAGAAAGCTTCCACGTACCACAGAACTTTCTGGCTTAATCTGCAGCTTTGGTTCTTCTCCAAAAAACCTTGTGATTTAAAATATCACAAGATATTTTAAAAGATGATTTCATGGAGACAGTACAAAACTTTATGAAGACCAGAGAATTTGGAGTTAGAAAGGTCTGTTGTTGTTGTTACGTGATGCTGAGTCGGACCTGACTCCTAGTGACCCCTCTTTGGGTTTCTGAGGCAGTATCTCTACAGAAGGAGATTTCCCGTCTAATCACTCACCAGCTCTGTGACTCGAGAAAAGTTGACCTCATAGAGATTAGTTTCTCCATTTAAAAAATGGAGTCAATAAACCTGTATTGCAGGGCATTCTTGAGATTTAAGTGATTCAATAGCAAATTGTAAGCAATTAACATCACTTCCCTACTCATAATTCTTCTTCAGGGAAAAACATGAATCATTCCCTTCAGAATAATTTTTAAAATATCCACTGCATGGAGTCGATTCTAATTCGTATTGACCCTACAGTAAAGAGAACTGCCTCACAGGGTTTCCAAGGCTGTAAATCTTTACAGAAGCAAATTGCCACATCTTTTTCCCAATGGGCTGCAGGTGGGTTTGTACTGCCAACCTTTCAATTAAGCAGCTGAGCATTCAATCACTTGTGACATCTGGGCTTCTCCCTTTAAAAATAGTACCCTGTATCTTTTCAAAATAGAACCACATGGACAGAAATAAACAAACAAACAAAACCTCTCACTTTAGCTTTCCTTTCTCTGTCAGCTGGAGTATCTGTCCAAATTGATCGATCTCCAGATTTATCATCTGCTCTTCTCTTAAAAGTTCTTGGCCCAAAACCAAAGTCTTTCAGTTCTGGAGGAAGTTCAGTCATCCATGACTCCCTTGTAATTGGTTTAGGTGAATCCTTTAAGAGAAAAAGAAGTTATTAAAAAAAAAAAAAAAGCAGCATGGAAAGTACACCCATAATACCGTATAAGTGGCTATCGCTATGTTTTTCAATTGAGGTTTTAAAGTTGACAGACAACCATAGAAAGAATGGATGTTCTTACATCTTTGGCAATAAGAACGTCACGTTTTTAATATTTTGCTAATTGGACGAATACGATTTCCCATTTTTGTTTTAGGTTGAATTTTCTGTTCTATTGAGGTGGAGCATCTTTTCAAATCTTATTAGCCATTTGCTCTTCCTCTTCTGCATAGCCTGTTCATGTTCCTTACACATTTTTCTACAGCACTGACTTCTTATCAGTCTATAGGGGCGCTTAGCTTTGGTGGTTATCAGTCATATATATTACAAACACTTTCATCTAACCTACAATTCTTTTGACCTCATGCTATCTTCTGCCATACAGAAATTTTTACATAGACAAATTTGCCGATCTTTTTCATTAATATCTTCTGGCTTACAATTTTTTTTAAAAAATATTTTACTGTGTTTAAGTTGAAAGTTTACACAGAGGATTAGGTTCCCATTTAACAATTTATAAATAAATTATTTGGTGATACTGGTTATATTTTTCACAATGTGCCATCATTCTCATTCCTTTTTTTTCTGGTTGTACCATTTCTAGTACTCTAGTTTCCCTGCTCCCTTACTTTCTCATTTTTGCTTTAGAGTAATTTTTGACCATTTGGTCTCACATAGATGATTTGTTTAAAGGAGCTCATTACCCACGGGAGATATTTTTTATTTTTTATCAATCAATCTGTTATTTAGCTAAAAGGTAATCTCACAAGATGATTTCAGTTTAAGATTTAATGCACACTGATTCTTTTTTGAAAACATTTTATTTTGTTGTTGCTGTTGTAGTGAATACACACAGCAAAATACACACCAATTCAACAGTTTCTACATGTACCATCTGGTATCACTGATTACATTCTTCAAGTTGTGCGACCATTCTCTCCCTCCTTTGCTGAGTTGTTCCTACCCCATGAACATAAACTTACTGACCCCTGAGGGTCCTATCTAATCTTTCGAGTTGCTGTTGTCAATTCTGTCCCCTATAGATAGCTCTGGAGCTCTGGTAGCATAGTGCCTAAGGCACTTGACTGCTAACCAGAAGGCTGGCGGTTCAAACCCACCAGCCACTCCTCGGAAAGAAGGTTGGGCAATCCTACTTCCGTAGTGATACTGCCTTGGAAACCCAAGGAGGGGTCGCTATGAGTCGGGGCTGACTTGACAGCAAATAACAACAACAACAACATAGATAGCTCTTAAAAGAGTATAGTGCTCACGGCAGACATTTTTTTTACTAGTGAAGCTAAACTATTGTTTGGTTTAAGAAGACTGCAGGGAATATTCTGGTGTAAGGTTTAAAGATTATCCCAGGACAATAGTTTCAGGTACTTTTCTTTTGTATGTATGTTTTTATATTTAGATTTTAAATCCATTTAGTCTGTCTCATCAAGTAAAGTATATTTAAAACTTACATCACCTCCTCTAGTCAGTTTCTCTTTCATTCTCTGGGCCCTTTTTTCAAACTCTGTCGTTACACTATAGTTAACTGGTCCTTTTGCAGGCATTGGTCCAACAATGTCCTCACCATCTCCACTGCTATCTGTTTCCTTTTAAAACAAGACATTACCTTCAAATTAAAAGCAGAGTTACAAGATATAGAATTTGATCATAAATTGCTTAAAATTTAACTTAAATCAATTACCAACAGATAATAAAACAAAAAAGCAAACAGTGCATTGCCCACTAATCACTGAATAATGAGAACCTTTGCTTTTTTTTCCCAAGTATGTCAAAGAAAGCAAAACCAATTTTAGAAATGACATGTACCTCATAACTCAAATAAATACATAGTACAGAGAAGACAAAGAAATGGCATGACAATGGTCTCATTTCTTCAATTAGTTATTGTTGTTGCTGGCTACGAGCGAGTCAGCCTCTGCCTCATGGTGACCCTAACAGACCTCATGAAATGATTTCAGCTGTCTTCTTGATGGACACAGATGTAGCCTCAGAATTCTTCTCAACACAGTATTCCAGGTAGCTACTAATTTGTCAGAGTTGACATAAGCTGAAAACTATATTCTTATTCCTGGCACATACAAAGCTCTTTGGAATAAGATTCATACAATAAGGCATTCTTGGAAGCTATACAGACTTCATGATTTAGTGTTGTCCACTGAAATAGAAATGTGTAAGAACTCAAGAAATCCTGACCCAAAAGCCCTCATTCATCAGCTTAAAGATGTAACAGCGTGATAGAGAGAAAATTCCATTTGTTCCTATTAAATCATTTTGATAAAGGGTTTTCAAGTATGACACTGTGTGATACTACATATACTAAGTTTAAAGGTACTTTTAATCTTCAAGGAACAGATGTATTAATAACCATGATATATTTGTCTTCCAGCTCTGACAGGTAGCTTCTTCCTGTTAGTTTTCAAATTATCAGGATCAGGAGTTCATTTGTATTGCCTTTATTTTCCCCACCACTCCATAACTGTCTATAATTTCTTCTGTGAACCATTATAGCAACTGCCATTTGTACAATTATATGTTGTCTTTTGACATACTCTAAACTACATATAGGAGGTCTGGTAGCATAGTGCCTAAGGCACTTGACTGCTAACCAGAATGCTGGCGGTTCAAACCCACCAGCCACCCCTCGGAAGGAAGTTTGGACAATCTACTTCTGTAGTGATACTGCCTAGGAAACCCAAGGAGGGGTCGCTGTGAGTCAGGTATGACTCGATGGCAAATAACAACAACAACAAACTACATATACATGTACAAAAATTTAATAACTATGGACTTTGGCATACAATGACTTATTTGATGCTCATAATAAAACTGTGAATTGGGCATTATTATTTCTGTTTTCCATTTGAGGAAACTGAAGTTTGTTGTTGTTGTTGTTAAGTGCCGTCGAGTCGTTTCCGACTCATAGCAACCCCACGCACAGCAGAACGAAACACTGCGCAATCCCACGCCAGCCCCACAATCCCTGCTATACTGGAGCACATCATTGCAGCCACCGT